TATATATATGTGTATATATTTATATATATACAAACGTTATATATATAAAATTATATACAAACGTTTTATACATAATTTTTGCTCCTTAAAGATACGGATTTAGGACAATTTGAAAATAAGTTCCTCAAACGAGTAGTCTCTCCCATGAAAGACAAATACTTGAGATAACATAAATATTCAAAACTCGGATTGTTCGACGAGCTGCGGCAGGCTAATTCGGATGGAAATTTGCGAGCTACCGAGGGTTAAGATCCTAAGATGAAAATTGTGCAGGGGGAGCAGCTGTTTCTCAAACCTGATCGTTTAGCGACATTGAAGCCCCATTACAAGAGCGAGAAGCCGCCGCAATATACAACGTTCAAGCCGAACAACTGAAGATTTTGCTATATTTAATTTTGTATCGACGGACGAGAGAAAAGCGAGGTAGAGAATAAGAGCGATAGGGGAAACGGATGCGGAATGACACGAAATCAAATATAAAACCATAGCTACTTCTATCAACCTCATTTATTACGAATATGGGATATATCTAGGAGAATCGCGTACATATATGCATATGTAATAATTACGAATTCTTTTATGCGAACACATCGTGGCGTTTGAAAGGCGCGACAGCGACGAGTCTCTCGAAAAATATACTGCCGACGATTTCTTCGAAAATAAGACGATCGATTCGATCCTCAGAACCAATAAAAAAATGAAAACTACACGTATTTATAATGCTTACGATAATATTGTTAATAAAATGATGATTTTCATTAGCTAGTATCTTTATTGACACTTTAAATACGAGCGGTAAGTTTTGCGAAACATCAATATTTGTACAATAAGTTTGCAGCAAAATTTTATATTGCCAGTGCTACATTTAACATTATTATTATAAATAAATTTAAAATGCTACCTGGACCTTTCCACTTCCAACCTCAGAAATTGAGAATTATTATACATGATCACGAACTATCAAATTTACAATTAATACATGCTATTAATTCATAAGTAAGTATATACCAATTTTACATCTTATTTAATTTTTGCACTTTATTATCATTCTTATTTCAAGTACTATTTCAAATTTTAAAATTACTGCATACGAAACATTGCGTTCTAAAGACTCGAAATTTATGATAATCTTAATGTTGATAATTAATTATTAAATACATTATAAAGAGATTTTTACATGATTTTTTTTTTATGAAAAGAACTTCTACTAACTTGTTTAAAATACTTCAGCTTATAAAAAATTTGTATATTTAACGTTATTCTATTTGTTGTCATTCTTTTACACTTGAGAAAGAACACAATATAGAAATGTCGTAATGTAAAAATTCCATCTCATCATATTATTTTAAACGTTATTGTCGTTCTATGAAAAATGATATTTTTGCGATTTTTTATACGTTATACATTTTTATTTACATTTCATCATCACATGAATCACATTTAACGTTATAGAATTACATACGTTAGAGAATTTCATGCGTTGGTCAGCATCTAAAGAAAATCCAAATCCGAATGTGGAGCTCACTAATCACAGGATTGAAGTGGATTCTTCAGTAAAAAAGATGTGGAACAAATTTTTGCAATTTTGTATTAATTCATCTTAAAATTCGATTAAAATTGATTTAAAGATAAGCACAATTGATTAAATATTTGGTAAGATGTTATTACAAAAAAATTTTATTTTTGTCCAAATAATTAAATGATTATACTTGTCTAAAATTTAATTGTAGTTTTGTTTTTAATTAAGCATTCTTTTGTTACCAATTCAAATATCTGCGATAAGTGAATCAGGAGTCTTAAAATCTTTCCGTCTTAAAATAATAATTCTTGAAAATAAAGCTTAGTTTCGCCGTTCTTCAGACGGCGCGGAAATACGATTTCGAAATAAGTCTCGAAATTATGAAAAATTCAAGATGCGCATTCGTACGGTGCGTCATAGATGAGATCGGTCGATAAAAAAGTCTCTATCGGAGTTCGAGTTGTGCACAGAAATCTCAAGAGGTCTCGAATGACGTCATCGTCGAGTGTGCCTTCATCCGCATTTTCGCATTTGTGCCCTCGTGTTCCGTCACGGAGGAGGAGACCTCGTGTTGGCGCGCTCTGAGTGGTTTCTACGAATTTTCGAGGTTAGATTCACTCATAGAGCGAGTTCACGAGAGTCGTTTACGTGAGATTTCGATTCATTCACGCCGATGTAAAAGCACGATCTTGCAGTCATGGCGGTGCGCGTGCAATTTGAGAACAACAACGAGATCGGCGTCTTCTCGAAGTTGACAAATTCATATTGCATAGTGGCAATCGGCGGCTCCGAAAACTTCTACAGGTAAGCGTGACGTCACTCATAACGCAACTGTACGAAATCGGCATTTACAACCGATATTTTTTAATTATTTAATCTCATTTATTAATTCAACACCATTCGATACAATAATAACGAAATACAAATGTTTCTATATTATAACCTCAAAGGTATGTCGCAAAATGGTGTAAAATAGTATCTTGTTAAGCAAGATAAGATAAAATGATAAGCATCACATTTCTGTATAAATATAATATAAATATAGATTATAATGTGATACATAATGAAAAATATTACCTTTATTATTATTCTTCTAATCAATATGTTTTTATAATTACTCCAATTCCATTTATCATTGTTGTAATTACAGTGTATTTGAAGCAGAATTAGCAGAGGCAATTCCTGTTATCCATGCATCAGTGGCAGGATGCCGCATCGTAGGTCGATTGTGTGTTGGTAAGCATATTAAAATGACTATATTTTGGAAGTTTTCACAAATATATTTTCTTTAAAATTTTATAGTGACTTGTGGGTTATTATTATAATCCATTATTGATGCTAATGTGTTTCATGAATATTACATTTTATTTCATTAAAATGAAAAGCAAATATTCATTAAATGATTTTATTTAAATATTAAAATGATTTTGTTTAAAATGTTGCTGTCGAATAGTTTTTGAGAACTCTGTAATTTTTATTTCTTCCCATACTGAGAAAAAATTAATATAAAACACCCAAATAATTTTTGAACAAATCATTGCCAAGAATTATTATTGTATTTGTTATTATTGTAATTATTATTGATGTCTTATCTATATTGTGTGTATGTATGTGTATACATATATGATAAATATTTTACTTAATATAGGAAACAAAAATGGATTACTAGTACCAAATACGACAACAGATACAGAATTACAACACATTCGAAATTCTCTACCAGATAATGTCAAAGTGCAGAGAGTGGAAGAAAGACTTTCTGCTCTTGGCAATGTTATAGCATGCAATGATTATGTTGCTTTAGTTCATCCAGATCTGGATAAGGTAAATCTTTCATTCAATTTCCCTTATATTAACAATTAGAGATGCATTAATAATTTAACAATTTTAATAAACCATACCTTTGATCATAGGAAACTGAAGAAATTTTAGCTGATACCCTGAATGTGGAAGTATTTAGACAAACTATTGCAAGTAATGTTCTTGTCGGATCATATTCTATTTTATCCAATCAAGGTGGCTTGGTACATCCAAACATGCCCATACAGGAACAAGATGAATTATCATCTCTTCTACAAGTACCACTTGCGGTAAGAGTAACAATAAAATTCCTGGATTTTTTTCAATTGTTTTTTCTATTCTTAATTTACTATTCTAGACTGGTACAGTGAATAGAGGCAGTAATGTGATAGCTGCTGGAATGGTTGTAAATGATTGGGCTGCTTTTTGTGGCATGGACACAACCTCGACAGAAATCGCCCGTATTGAGAGTGTTTTTAAACTTAACGAAGCTAATCCAACTCCTATTACGTCGAGTATGCGTGCACCTTTTATAGAAAGGTAAAAACTAAAAGAACAGATAGCATATGATTATATTAATATTTTTCATGTAACAAAAATTTTTATCGTTTTAGCATGTCGGACTTATAAGAAAAAGAACTTCTTTAAAGCACTGGAAAAAATATACTGGGCTATATGTAATATGTACATAAAACTTTATATATTTATGGCTTTATGTATCTGCACAGGATTATTCTTTCATCAACATATCTATGACAAATGATACGTGATTCCGACAAGAAGATAACGAATGTAATAAGATACTCTGTATTAAGATTTATACGAAATATAGTGTTTCTTTGTGTTCGTTCACACATTTGATTAACGATACCGTTACATACTATTGTAAAGTAAATTAGCAGTCATTAATATGCACGCTGACATTCTTTGAGAAAAATATGACGAATAAGAAAAAAAGCAATAGAAAATCAAATTATTTATATATTATTTCGCGAATATTTTCCTTATAGAAATATTTGTAACGAACGTATTATATAAGCTTGTTTTTAACAACGTGCATATATAAAAAATATGCTTTTCATAGTCAAGTTTGATAATCAATGAATATGACTGTGTATAAAACAGAAATATTCTATTGAAATATATTTTAATCAATAATATTCTCTTTGAATACAAACGCGATCTGTGTCAAAAAATGTAAATTATTTCCATCCTGTTGATTTACATAGTAAACAAACTATGAATAAGAACATTTTGTGGATTGGCCAATTAATAAAATTTATTGTAAATCAAGTAAGGGCCAGTCCGATTTTTTAATTTTTGATCGGTAAGACTAGAGTAGCGGTAGTTGTTCTGCGTGTAACAATTCAGTGGCTGCGGCGGAATCGGCACACATAACCAATGTAATGCCTGCCTGGTAAGATGCCGGAATGCGAATGTGAGTCGCTGCAGTAGGCGGCCTATTAGGTGGCCTAGGGCGCACTGATTCTCGTATCATATTTACAACTTGCCCTATATCACAAATGTTTCATTGAAATTATTGTGATCAAAACAATATAAATATATATATATGTATATACACACACATGTAACATACCAAGAACATTAAGTTTTCGCCACTTTTGATCCATTGTCGCGAGCGGCGTTAGATCCATACTTGCATTCCAATGCGCTAAAACATCTGACCTTCGTATTAACAGAATACTGGGACTAACTAACTGATGCCATACGAGCTAAAAGCATATCACAAATATAAAATTTCAGCTAAACTAATTTCATAAATATATTTTAGTTAAATATGTAATTTATATCAGTATATTGGTCGTACGAACCTGTTCAGGCAAACATTCTAACGGATTTGTTAAGTATATACCGGCTTGTCCAACACCGAATATCATTTGATGATGCCATGCATCTGGTATACCACAACCTTCGCCACAATGCTGCAAGTTCAACGTCGCGATTGGTGCAGCACCTAAAATATAATAATATATTTTGCATTAATATTTTTTTATTCTTTGTTATATATTTTGTGATCAATTATATTTTCACATTAAGCTGTATTATCCACTTAAAAAATGATATATATATATATATATCACTTAATTTTTACCTCTGGAGATCCAATAATGTAACCAATGAGATAATGACACTTTTCTTTCTGGATAAAATGCAAAAAACTTTGTTATAGCTGCACCATTTGTCGACAGAGATATCCCTCGTGCTATATCTTTATGAGTTGCTCCTGCTACCGATCGACTGACAAGATATTTCGGTAATGGTACGTTTAGTTCTCTCAATCTCGTATTTACACCTTTTATTAATACTTCCAAAGAAAATGATATATTTAAGGCCAGCTAAAAAGAGACAATTTATATGTATAAACAAATTTTGCGAAATTGTAAGACAAATTTTAGAAAATTTTATGCTTTTTTTACATGTAATTTTTACATATTTATACTTCAATATACATACCAAAGCATTAATTGCAGATGTAGCACCACAGGCGGAAGTACCAATTTGGGTAACTTGCTTCATTGTGGCTTCTTGTTCACTCCATAGCATTACTTTTTCAATCGGTGGTAATCCATCTAACCGCTCGTTACACAATTCATTTTCCTGTTTGAATATTATTTAATATTTAATGACATGATTTGTTCAATTGTTAAATCCGTTTAATAGTAAATATATTAACCAGATTGGAATCACCACTTTGATTAAACGCAGCATGCTTATTGAGCATTAGTTTCTTAGCCATTATTCGATGATAAAGCGTAGAAATGAGATTAACCTTCCTGGCATTCAAATTGGAATTATCCGAAACAGACGCTGCCGACGGTTCAATCCACAGCTCAGAATCCGAATCTCTATTATCACCAGGCGAAATAAGATCACCACTTGTGTTATGATAACCGTAAGATTCGCGTACTGGACAACCTGTATTACGGTAGAGCGTTGCGCTGTCCCATCTTCCTGTAAATTTCATATAAATGTGGAATATTTTATATGATAATATGAATCGTTAACTATAATATGAACCGTTAAGATAGCCACAGTGTGAAATAATACCGGTTCCAGCGCTAGTACTGGGCATCCATGGAGCTGAATACGTTGACTTCGCATTTTGTTCTATTGTGCATTGATTACTTGTGCATTGTTGGAAAGCTGTATAATTAACATTCTGATTAATAGTTTGTTTTGAAGTCTGCGGTATTGTTGTCAACCCCTGCTTAGATACAACTTTTCCACTACTCAGATCATTAAGCACCGGATCTTGTTCTATATTATCTAATGCTATATTTTGTATATCTTCATTTATGGAGGCCAAATCACTATCTCCAGTATCCTGCAAGGTAAAGAGAAGCATTATAACTTGAATCGATTATAGTATCATAAATGTCTTACCAGTTCACAGGAAGGCCCGGGATCAAAATCCATTTCCAGAAAATCCATCTCTGGACTCGACCTACCACTATGGTTCTGTCCCTCTGCTTCCTGATTTTCTGCATGATCTTGATGTAATTCTTCTTGCTGATCTAAATGAATCACATCATCATTTCCCTTATAAGTATAGATGCAATAGTCTTCTCCATCAGACATATCTCCTTCATTTCCAGAACTAGAATCCATCCTTTCTACCTGTTCTCTCTGCAAAGCCTAGAAGTAAGAAAATTAAATTTTATGAACAAAATGAAAACATTTAATTACACGATCCAATATGCTAAAACCTACTCTCTGCAGTCCACTGGGTCCAGCAATTTCTCTGCTGCCATTGATATTAGGTCTTAGAAAACAACAAGTCCCTTGACTTGTCGAACCTATACTACCACCTATGTTATTTAGTATACGTTTAGATCCATAGGACTTTGATGTCCAGGAAGAATCAGCCTCTGGACTAGAATCTGAACTGCAAGAAACCTTAGAAGGGCATTTCTCTATGACAGATGCATAATCCACATTGTTTTTCATATCCGCATCGTCGTTTGATTTAACTGTTGATAAATTAGAAGGTGTTGATGATACATTCAATGTAGATACACTCAAATGCAATGTAGCACTGCTAGCAGTGGTAGAATTAAGAACGGCTGGTGCTAAGTTATGATTGAGATGTAGACCCGTTTGAGTGGAAGATAAATTCAAGTGCATTTGAGACTTAGGCAAATTCAACGAGCTCGCATTCACAACAGTCTTATGCTTCAATTGACAATTAACAGCATTGGTGTTTACAGTCTGAGGTTTGATATTGGCGGTTGTGTTTGTAAACATGGAAGATATGTTCATGTCTTGAGAAACATTTTGCTCCAAGGAATTGGCACAATCGGACATGGAGGTTTGTACAGATTTCGTTCCATTGGAGAGCACGACAGAGGTTTTGACTGGCAGCACGAGCTTGATGCTACCTTGATGTTCATCACTGTTGTTATTCAGCCTCAGCTGTCCGTCCGCCCCGTTCTCCAGCGGCACCTTGGACGTCATAGTGTCTTGGTCCACAGATGATTGATTGTCATTCTTCAGACCGACATCCACCCTGACCTCCGCTTTGTCCTGATTGCTCCCATCGTTTCCCTTTGAATTCATATTACCCTCGACGACGATGGCGTTACGCGGCATCCTGCAAACCAAGACGCACACAATAACACTCGTGAATAATCTTCTCCGATGAGATAAAACCTTACATCTCCCATCGACGTGCTTACCATGTGGCACGATACGAGATCACTTTAGAAATCGACTAACGGCATAGGGACTCCGGCGGCGTTGCACAGAGCCGGAGGTCGAGGATCTCTGAAGGATGCGATTCCGCTGTGTGGTTAGGCGGGGAACTCACATCGCTCGGTTCCGGCCGGAACTATGGGCTGAATTATGAGGAAAAGGCGCACGGCTCGCGCGAGTCTCGTGCGTTTCCCTTCACGAGGGAAGAAAAAAAAAAGAAAAGAGGACACCTCTCCTTTCAGACGAAACTGCCGAAACGCCTCACTATAACATCCTAACAATCCGTCTCGTAGCGATACCGGAAGTCAGCTGATTGTCGGAAACGAGCGTACTACACGCGAGACTCGCTCGTTCCTCGCATCGTCTCTGCCGCTCGTTTTTCACTTCATCGCGTTCATCTCTCTCTCTCTCTCTCTCTCTCTCTCTGTTTTTTTTCTTTTTTTGTATTGCTAACGCAATTGTCTTGCGAAGGCGATCGCCTCGTGAAGTATATTCAAGGGTGTTCCGTGTCGTCAATTATCACAGAGAGACATGTATCGTTACGATCGTCGATCTCACCAGGATGCGATATCGCATCGCGCGACGCGGCGTGCATTCTCGGTGTACACTCGATGCCATAAATGCCCTCCGACGTTCCGGTTTCGATTTGAGAAACGAGATTGCGGAAAATACGAGTTTCCCGATAATCGGGTGAAAGGAGGTGTAAGAAATTGATTAGAAAGTGAGGACAGGAAAAAGTTTAGTGAATAGCCATGTAGGACAGTCTTCAGAATAAGAGATCGGAGACGTAAAGAGTTAACGGAGAGGGATGATGGTGCAGAGTGTCGCGATTTGTAAACGAAGGATTCGAACGAAGTTCGAATCTCGATCGGTTTTGTTAATTTTTCCACTTCTTACGGAAGGAGTGGAAGTCGAGTAGAATTAAATGCAGAATTAAAATAGGCGTAGCGAATCTGATTGGCTGCTCCATGTTGTCCCTCACATCACACGCATATTAATGCGTATTTTTATTTCGCGAAGGTTAATTAAAAAAAAAAAAGAAAAAGAAATAACGAAGATTGCATTTGAGCGACAAGAGGAAAAATGAAAAAGTATCCGATCTCGCCGAATCACGATTTGTTTAAACGTACGTTCGATCGAGAAATGTCCTGAACTGAAAGGTGCATTAATGATGTCAGGTGTATAATACTCGACGCGAGAGTGCTGTGTTTCTCTTTCACGTGTACGGATAATAAATTCGAGACGCGCGAGTCCTTTGGCACTCGGTGGCTGGTGAGAGGAAATCCTGGCGCAGAATGAATGTCATCCGCATCACGTCGAAGAACGTGGTATTCCTCTTCATGGCGCTTTTGTCAACGTCCGTCCAGGAAGCTCGCATGGATTACGGTGAATGAATTCGCTTCCTAACCACTAACGTGCGAGTTTAGCGAGAGAAAGTTCTTACGCGAAATTTTTGTGAAAATCTCGATATTGGGATGAAATCCTCTGAAAGCATCCTCTGAAATATATGATATTTTTCTCTTTATATACTTGGTGCCTTGAATATTTAATGTAATCATTACAGGCACTGCAACTAGCTATGCAATGAAGGAAGCCAATGTAAACTCCACACCAGCTTACAGCAGTAAGAAAGTAAGACTCCTTAAATCTAAATAATAATTTTACATAATAATACTTGTAAGTATAAATTGTTAAATTATAGGAGGAAATGGCTGGCCTATGCCCAAGTGGGATACCTTGTACAGAATTGAGTGGGGAATGTCTGAAATGTAATTTAAACTATAGTTGCAAATATGGCGCCATGTATGAGACAAACTGTTCAGTGTTGGAACACGTTGACTGTATAGTATGTTAAAACATTTTTGAGAGAGCTGCTTTCAGATTCTCTTTTTAGTTTAAGATTTAAAATTCTTTCTTATATTTATATAATTTAAAATCATATGTCTTATTTATTTATAGGGAGAGCAGACTTTTTCGAAGAAGTACATGTGTCGTTATTGTTATCAAACTGATCACTGGGAACATCTGTGCCATCAAAAAAATTCATGTAGCTCAGTAGCATCTCCTCAACAATATTATAGGTTTGTGACATTAAATTTCGTCATTAATATTGAAATAATGCTAACAAAATAGTCTTCTGATTAGACAGATATATTTTTATAATTTTTTAAATTGAGATATTAATTTGTTGAATATTAAGAGAGAAGGATATGTATGGCTATCTATAAATATTTATTTAATATTCTTATCGCACAGAACAAATTGTACGGTGAACGATGACATATTATGTCTGGGCAGACGGAAGTTTATGAAAAATTTGCCTTGTAACTGGACAGTTGGATATCGATGGTCTACAGCTTTAATCTTGAGTATCACTCTTGGAGGATTTGGTGCAGATAGGTAATTGATGATTTTACATTCATATTATTTGAAATGTTTGTGATCAATTAAATATAAAATTCTTCTATAAATTCTAGGTTTTACTTGGGACACTGGCAAGAAGGCATTGGCAAGCTTTTCAGTTTTGGTGGACTGGGCGTATGGACCTTGATCGATGTAATATTGATCTCTATGAGATATTTAGGTCCTGCTGATGGCTCTTTATATATTTAGATTATTTATGGATGTTGTAAATATGAGATTTAAGGCTTATTTTATCATAATTTATCATAGCTTTTATAGAAATGTTATATTTGTTAAACTAGGTACAAATTAATGTGATATATGTATATACATATATATAGATATGAACAAATTGCTTTTATAAAAATGAAGTTTACATTTCTTTATAGATAATAATTGTCAACATATCTAGAGAGAAAGATTTAGCATAATTTCTATTAAGCTCTTAGAAGATTAAAACAAAACAAATGTTTTTTGTAAAAATTATAATTTAATATAATTAGTATAATTTATTTGTTAATAAATATATCTAGAAAATTTACATAAAAATTCTAATTTAATCTTTATTATTTAAAAAATAATTAAAATAATCATATGTTATATGTCTATAGAATTTTGAAGTTTTTCATCGAAGGCATATTATGTAGAATATAAATTTTTGTATACAAAAAAGTAGAATGTTCTCAGAATAGGTTAGAATATTCGAGGCGCTTGTAAAATTGACTGATGCATCGATACGGTAGTATTATTAGTCAAAGAGATGTGTTAGCACATCAGAAATATTGTTAATGAAATTATTTTTTAATATTTAATTCGAGGCAAGTAACCTCCAAAAAAGAAAAATTAATATACAGAAGAACTCTATACATGACACAAAAGTGATATCATTTTCTACATAACCTATAAATCTGTTTTTTTTTTATAGATTCAAAGAGAGGCTATACTGTTGATAAATAAATTATGAGACTTGCAAGTGTCTCTAGTTTTTAATCACATTTGTTGTAATTGCGAGTGTCAAAATGCCTACGGTCGTAGCGTTAGATGTCTCCCTGTCAATGAGGAGACCTGTGTTAACAAGTGGGACGAATGATAGTTTACAAAATGAACCATTAACGCGGCATCATTTAGCGGTGCATGGCATAAACGCTTTATTACATTACTTACAAGTTAACTCAAAGCTAGAATTTGTGTCACTGGTAAGAACAGGTTACAATATCAAAGTACAATAGATACATTAACATACAACTTGATAAATCTTTCAATTTTCAGATTGTATTTTCGTCATTGTACGAAGTAGTCTGTCCTTTTACTCGTGATTATGATAGCATACGTGCAAAGTTACAAACTATTGAGGAGTGGGATAAAACATGCATTGAAGGAGCATTACATGGAGTTAATAATGTAATTATGGCAGAATGGGGTAATGCCACAGCTTGCCAAGTAATATTAATTACAGATGGTAATCCAGGCATAGGACCAATGTCCTTAGGAAATTCGTTAAGTGCTTTAAACGTTGCACAAGACATAAATCCTTTTCCATTACCTTTTCCATATCCAGGAAAATTAAGCATAGTTTGCATTGGACTACAGCAAGGTAAGTCAATATGAAAATATTATATTTAAATATTATATTTTATCTTTTATTTTATATACACACACACAACATTTATGTGCGTGCGCGAACACATACACACACACACACACACACACACACATATATATATATATATACACATATATATTGTTCATATTGTATTTCAGATCCTAGTTTGCAGATTGGTTTACCCCTATATCAACGTCTAGTTGATCTAGCTGGTGGTGATAGTATTGTATTAGTTCCTGAATCACCACTTAGTAAATATACTGTCGCAACTTGCTTTCAAAAACTAGCTGAAGCTAATTATGTTTCCTTTCAAGGATACTTACAATGTGGACATTTAGGTTCTCGTATTTTATTATCTCCAGCTCCCATGGTAATTACAAGTATTATGAGAATATATAATAAATTATCTTAACTTATACTATTTTATATATATTTCAGCCTTATACAAAAAAGACAGATTTCGAATTAGCTCCTGGCTTGGTAATATCAAAAACGATAGAAATATGTGGATTTATATCTGTCGGGGATGTTGGTAGTCCAAGTTCCATTTCTAGGCATTTAGTATTACCATTGGCAACAGAGAAAAATTCAAGTATGCAAGGTATATCATTAGAAGAGGATTCAGATACCGAAGAGAATGGCGACGAGGGAAGAATGCCATCTTTTTGTGTGTTGCTTCATGGAGCATTAAAAGTAATGTAGAAATTTTATGATTATTACTATTTTAATATGATTGAAATTATGTATATGTGATTATTGATATATTTTACAGGTAGAAAACATGGCAGCTCTTTGTATGTTGAACAATGAATGGTATGGATTCATATATTCTTGGGCAGATACTAAGAAGAAATCTAATTTAATGCTAACAGTACTAGAACCAGGATCCCACGTCGTACCATGGTTAGGCAATTTCAATAATTTGGGCCCGTTAGACACGGTTAAAAGTTCTCCAGTCAGTTTTCCAGTTAGACCAGCCGAAAAGAGAAGCTATACACAGAATGCTCCATCATGGATTCGCCAAGTTGGCTTGCAATCTGATATTCAAAAAATATTAAGACATGCAAGAAAATTACCCGATAAGACACAAAATTTCTACAAGGTAAATTTAAAGGATCGGAAGAATATATTGCATAGCTTTGTAGACGATTCAAGTAATCATATTTAAATCGTATACAATGCTATACAATGTATTCAAAAATTATTACACAATGCTATGCGCTGTTTCTAAAATTATCTTTTTATCACAGGAGGTAAACAGATTACGACGTGCAGCAGCATCTATAGGATTCATAGAGTTATTAGAAGGATTAGCGTGTATTTTGGAGCGAGAATGCACATTACTACCACCAAATCTGAATCCCGATTGCACAATCCAAATGGGACATGTTGCATCAATGATTAGAAAACCGGAATTTCATGAGCTTAGATACAACATTCCACCCGCACGAACGAAATTTCAACCTGGATCATGAGTTGTAATAAACAATAACCAAAATGTTGTTACATTTGTATCAAAACTGAATATTCGTACAGCAAAAATAAAATTTGTATTTATTATAATCATTATATATCCCATATAAATATCACATATTTTATATTACATATTTCTATTTTACAATCTGCTTGATTTAATTCTTTTGTAAATATAAACATCAGCACATTGTAATTATATATCATAGCATATATAAGGAAATATGCTGAATATACAGGATTTTTATAAAATTTTATTATTCTCTATTATTAGTTATTGGCAGTTTAGCAAATACAATTGTTAGTTAAGTTTCAAGTTTCTTATTAAATAACTTAAAATGTCATATAAACCGTTTGCAGTTTGTATACTGGAGTACGTGTCGAAATCTGGGACATGCACAAACAGAGTCTTTGTCGGTTCAACAGAAAGAGATTGATAAAATATATATTCGCACAAATATCTACCGGCATTATACGAGAGGCAAGCTGTACAACTATTTCTTTCAAAATTTTTATTTATGTTATCACAAAGCTCTTCAATATCAATCCCAGTTTCCAGAATGTTGCATTTAACATCCGTTTCATCCGGACGTTTATTACATATGTCAAACCTAACATAACCGTTGCTGCAAGCATGATGCTCTATCGTCAAAGATTTAGCTTTGCTAGATACACCTACGTGTAGGACAATCTGAAACAAAAAAAATTATAAGAAAATATGTGAGTACAGAGTATGTTCTATTCATAATTCTATTGTGTGCAACATTACTTACTGATGGATTGTATTTTTTCCAGAGCTGAGGGATATAGATGGATACGTAATCATAGGAGACCGGAATTTCTTCTGCGATCAGTTTGACATTAGAAAATTCTACAGAATTCGCCCATAGCTTCTGCAATTCTTTCACCGCTTCCCAACTAGCGTTGACCATATGTGTGCCAAATGGGCCGAAGCCAGTTACTACAATTGTGCATTTGGGATCATTCATTTTGTAAATGCAAACGGATTCAACAATGTACCCCCGGTTCTAGTCAACTTGAAAATGTTTAATTCAACTATTTGTAATTTAATTTCTTATCTCAAAGCGTTGCGTTATCGCGAGACTGATATCTATCACATCGAGCCAGGTCTGCGAATGATTTATTAACTTAATGCGAATCACATTGAATAAGTTTGTCCGATGATTACGGAATAACTGACGTTGTCAGAAAATTTCGTTCGAACATTCGCGATTGCATGCAAGTAAATTTATAAATCTACAAATATCGCGCGTGGGACGCATATTGAACGATATCCAACTGTATATCTCTGGATTATCATATCTTATACTAAAGTATGTATATACATTTGTCAAAACAACCGAGTATTGGGAAAACGATTAGAAGAAGAGAAATATTGCACTCTACATAATCAAACGTATACTTGTTTCAATTCGGCACAACTAGAATGAGCGGATTCGATTGTTGCTTTGGTCCATTCTTTCGATCGTTTCGATTTCGAGAATCGTAACATTGTTTCTCGAAAGACTCGAATCATAAAAGTTCAAGCTCGTCTCAAGTCAAATCATAAAAGTTCAAGCTATCTCTCATAATTATTGATTATTTGAAATTAGAGCCGCTTTACAAACAAAATTATCAAGTTTTATAGCATCATATTTTTGAATGACTAAACACAACAAATTTTCACGTATTTATAACACAAGAATATAATATTATAGTAGTAATTATTTTAAACAAGTAAGACAATGCGCGGCTTGTATTTTTTAAAACAATAAAGGAGAATAGAAACAAGTCACTCAAACAATAGATTTATCGAATAGCGAAAGGAAATGTTTTACA